CTAACAGACATCTTCGTGTCGTGCGAAAACTGACCCAAAACTTGCAACGGTTTGCATCCTGTAAATGATATGTGGATGACGTCCTTGTCAGGCAATAACTCAAGAGACGGGAAATTACTACCTCGGACAATGGACGAGGTATATGCGATGATCGAATTTACGATCGAGAGTGGGAAGAACGAGACGCAGCGTTTCTTAGGAGTTCTTGTACGTAGGCGGGCAAGATCCTATTTCGTAGCCGTACCTGATAAGGGTTAGGGGGTTGGGGTGAGATGTTAAGGTTAGTGGTTAGGCTGGGGCTTGTCGAATGCAGGTACGGCTACGAAATAAGATCCGACCGTCAGGGTAAGGGGTCATGTTTACGGGGAAGGGTTTAGGATAAGGGGTTATAGTTAGGATTAGGGTTGGGGGGTTAATGCAACTATTTCTCAACCATTGAAAGTACAACCACGCACTCCCAATAGCTTTTCTTTTGCATACAACTACTTGACTTCGTCGACTGTGTGTTCCCCTGCCCCAACTGTAAAAACCCCCTATTACCATCGGTCTCGCATTAGAGGTGGTTGGGGTTTGTTTACTTCAGGTGGGGCTACATAACCGCATCCGACCTAATTATTGCCCCACGTGCAGCCAACTGCGATGTACGAGGCGGCCACCCAGTCTTGCCAGGCGAAACAAGCACTGCAACAACACTTGTGCAAGACGTTACCGCCTACCTGATTCTGCCCCTGATGATGAATCTGAATGTGGGCACGAAACGCCAGACGAATAAAAACTCTCGTTTCAGCGACTGCGTCTCCCGCCTCCCGACTGCTTCCTGTGACTCGCATCGGCACAAAACCCAAACAGCAAAGCGGCGCGTGGCCAATCAATGAATAGAAGGGTCCTAAACCCTGGATCACGCTTCACTCAAAACGCACGCCAATGCAGGAGTTGCGTGTGCAGATCTTGCCGTCTTCTCTTCTAACGCGCCCAACAAGGCAGGACGGCGCCGATGCAAAAGTTACACGGAAGACCGTAGAAAAGGACTAAAACCTACGCCAACAGTGCCTCAGTTGGTTGTGATAATTTGGGCTAGACTATACGGGGAACGAAGCATAGACGAAAGGACAAATAAAGAATGCGACCAGCAGTAAATACGACGACACTGACGACGAAGGCCCAAGTGAGCGGGGCTGAGACGTCAACAGTTACTGGGGCAATCTAAGATTGTAAAGATTTTCGCTACCAGAACAAGACATTCGACTTGCTGGTGGAAGTATCCAACTATGTTTTCATATAACGATTACTTCATTTGGATCGCAACACTGATTACTAGTACACATAAGTTCTGATTAAATTGTCCGAGGTAACGATTCAAGTCCTGGTTGAGGGTATTTTACGCCACCTAAGTCAGTCACACGCGCAAGGAAACATTACATGAGTGACGTGATTCACTTGAATAGTACATCCTTTAAACGTCCGTTCATTGGTTTCCTAAATCAGGTAGTCTGTCTTTGTTGGGCTCAAGTCATGAACAAACAACCATCTCATTTCTATCATATTTCCTGGAGTGGAGGCATAGAATACTTACCTACAACATCGAATTTGTACAAAACAGCGCCTTCTTGCAACCTGTGCCTGCTAGGGCGACTTATTCCTCGTAAGTAAAGAAATGCAGTAATTTCTGGGTGTTTTAGAAAGTGACCAGAAGTTTCACTTATTGCTTAAGTCCCCAAATCACATGGTATGTGCTTTATGGGCAAACAATTTCACCGAGGTCGTCTAGTTTTTCACGGTTGGGTCAAAATCTCGTAATTCTCTCCATGGCACATGAATGGACCTCCCGGTGCGAATGCAATAAGGCAACAGATCTGTATTATGGAAAAAACATTAACATAATTGTGGATAGTAGGTCACTGCAGTACACACGCCTAAAGCAGAAGAAACCTACTCAGCCAGACAGGATGACGTTATTTACTACAAGATTTGAAACAAGGAGTATTTGTGTGGAAATTTTCCCAAAAAAGAATTGGATTTAACCAAACATCGGAAGACGGGCACACGTTAGTCTGGCTGGCGGATAGTCGGGGTCTCCATGGGTGGCGGATAGTGGAACGACCTTCTGCGAACAAGCAGGCTCTCGGATGTGGCGAATAGGCATTCAAGGGGGCTGAGGTATGGGACGCCGCAAAGCCCGATGACGGCACTGTGACACGGCGACCGTGAACCGTTGCCAAAGAAGTTTGCTAAACACCGATGCCTTGTGGCTAGATTTTTGGGTAAGATGTGGTTTGGCAGCCCCACCTAATGGACACAATACTTTTGGGGTTGGGGTTAGGGCTAGCGGTTGGGGTTTAGGATAAGGAGCTATAGTTAGGGGTTGGCCCAACTAGTTCTCAACCAGTGAAAGTACAACCACGCACTCCCAATAGCTTTTCTTTTGCATACAACTGCTTGACCTCGTCGCCTGTGCGTTCCCCGGTTCCGCCTGTAAAAACCCCTATTACCTGCGGTCCCGTATTAAGGGTGACCGGGGTCTGTTTACTTCAGGTGGGACTACCAGACCATATCCGACCCATAATAGTTACATCCAAATTGAAAATATGCGAAGTTCACGGGGTTTATAGGTGACTCAGAAGCTATTAACGCTCATCGTTCCCACGATGACGTGTATTTGCTTATTCATTCGCTCCTATGGAGCGAGATACATTGGCCGTACAACGAGGGGTCTGGAAAAGAGAGCACATGAACACATACCGGCCTGGCTAGACAGAGGTGAAAAGTAATCGATTTCGAGTCCTATTCTCGCACATCTTGTCGATACGAATCACCGAGTCGATGCCAAAGAAGCTTTCCAGGTTGTCTATCGGTCACCAGCAAGCTTCTCCAGAGGCCTTCGCCAACGGATGCTAGCTACAACCCAGGCAGGGCAATACGGCTAGTCAGTCCAGCGACGCCGCAAAGACCGATGGCGGTGCTGTGACATGGCGACCGTGAACCGTTACCAAAGAAGTTTGCTTGACACCGATGCCTTGTGGCTAGATTTTTGGGTAAGATGTGGTTTGGTAGCCCCAACTGGTGGACACTACTGTTGGGGTTTAGGATAAGGAGCTATAGTTAGGGGTTAGCCCAACTATTTCTCAACCATTGAAAGTACAACAACGCACTCCCAACAGCTTTTCTTTGGCCCACAACTACTTGACCTCGTCGCCTGTGCGTTCCCCGGCTCCACCTGTAAAAACCCCTATTACCACCGGTCCCGTATTAGAGGTGACTGGGGTTTGTTTACTTCAGGTGGGGTTACCAAACCACATCCGACCGATTTTTGAGTCAAAATACTAGGAGAGGAAACCTTGAACAAACAAGTCGATCGGCTGTTGGGGACTCGCCTGTATTCCAAGCCCCCAAGACGCCAATAAATGTCCGAGGCAGAATTTTAACGATCTTCGGAAAGTGTCTATGAACCCGACGCAGCATCTCCATTGCCACAAAGGTCCACGTGCATTGAGCATGCGTCCGGCCAGTCCTCCCAAAGGGTTGTGAACGTTGGGTTGTGCACGTGGATGCGCGAACGCTGAAGGTGCCGATCGCCGCAGCTTGGCGACCATCCTTCGTGTTCAGTACACCGATTTCGTCCACGCTCACTGCGACTACATCGCGGGGATGTCTCGAACAATCCAACGAAAACTTTCATCATCGTCCGACTCATGAGCTCAACTTTGCTGCCTTTGATCTGGCGTCGTTGCCCACGTGAAGGAGTTAGCTTAAAACCCAACTCGGCACAGTTCGCCAAGAAATGGAAGTGGTCCTTAGATCTTGGGTGGTCGGTCTCGACCGGTAGAGAAGACAGTGGTCGAACTCTGCAGATCCGCTATCGCAGATCGTCACGAGTGCAGAGGTACAATCAGCGATATCATCGGGGCGGGCCAGGTCAGACGTAATCACAGCTGTACCAAGTACAAGTACATGAAAAGTTGGGCGAAATTCTGAAATGTGTTTTCATTTTGAAATGATTAATTGCGTAGGGTTGTCGTGTTGATTATCGTGTCGCGTAATGTCAAGATGTTTCAGTCAGATCAGGATGTCGGCTTTCCAACGAGCTTCCTGGCAACCGCCTGCGTAAACTACATTCCGTAAAAACTGACTACTTGAGTAGCGTTAATTCTTCCCATTTATTCTAGATGCCTTTACAAATTCAAATATTTTATGGGAAAATACTCTTTCTTTCACTCATTTGATAGCAAATTACAACTTCTTAGAACTTTATACTTGAGGAAAGAGTATCTTTCTATTTTCAGAAAACGGCCTCAACCCCGGAATAATTTTTAACCAGACCTGACGCTACAGTTGCATTTTGGGTTTCCAGACTATACGCTATATACTTTCTGTATAAGTAAAATCATACATTTCTATACTATATTAAGAAGATGACATATGAAGCTCCCAAAAATTGTTATAGAAATCGACTACGTTACCCAGTTTATAAACAACATTAATGAATATGATGATGCGATGCTTTACGATTGGACATTCCAAGGACTTGGAAAACCTCATAATTAGAAACTTTTTTGTAACTAAAAGATACTCTTTCTTCAAGTATGAACCCTGAAGAAGTTGTAATTCGCTATCAAATGAGTAAAAGGAGGAGTATTTTGTGCGCGTTTCCGATAAAATATTTGAATTTGCAAAGGCATCGAAAATCAATGGAGAAAATTCCCACTAAGTAGTCATGTTTGAGGAATGTGGTTTACGCAGGCGGTCGATAAGGAACTCGTTCGAAAGCCGGCATCTTGACGTGACTGTAATATCTTAGCAATATGCGACACGATAACTAACATGGCAACCCTACTTAGGTAATCTTTTCGAATTGAAAACACATTTCAGAATTTCGCTTAATATCTACCGTACGTGCATTTCAAGTTGGAGTATGCAACTCGATCCAGGGTGTGATAAACGCATATGGCTGGTAGGGCCTTCAATCGGAACCCAGCATTCTACTCTTGGCGTTCTCAATGGTTTTTCAGTTGGGATGGACACGCTCCAATCTAAACGGCGTCTCCGGGAAAATTGGTTTCATCCCCTGACAGTGAGATGCGTTCTAGGAACCAGGTATGTCGTGAGTTTATGTGAATCGATTTTCGTCCGGTCATAGGTGTCTGGCGCGAAACAGCTGCTGTCTGAGTCCAACCCTGCTAGTGTCCTACCTCTCCATGGCCTTGAAGTGCGAAATACGAGGCATAAAAACAGATAGTCATACCTCAAAAACAACCGAACTTTTCAGACTCTCGTAAAAAAATAACCAAAATGGTATTTCCCTGGCAGAGTTCAACTCCTGACTTCCAGCATTTAGGGCCGGCGTCATGTCCGCAACACAAAGGCTTGAGCAGATCTGGCCATCATGGCCGTTTTTGTGCGTGCCAAATAACGCTCACCAACCTCCCCTGCTAAATGGTTCGCCTTGCTGACGAGGACAACGACCTTGAGGGGGTTCAATCGGCTTTACTGAGAATAAAAACGCGTTTCTACTTTGCTCCTGCTTGAGAAAACCCGTCAGAGTCGAGACAGGGTTGAAATACAGAGCCCTAACGGCGGGTCATTTGGACGGCCCCCATATTTCGACCACGTCAAAAACCTTCCAATGGAAAAATCCTGGACAAGCTGGTCAAACAGAAAAGATCTTACCGACGAGGAGTACGGTCAGTAAAGACGATGACTAGTTAGTCATCATCGGCCAGTGGTACCCCACATCTCCTAGTTCAGCCAAAGTGGGGATTGTCAGGTACAATGCGTAACCGATCTCATGAAATGTTGGCCGAAATTCTGGAATGCGTTTTCGATTAGGAAGGACTACTTGGGTGGTGTTGCAATATTCATTAGCGTGCATCATAATCCTATAGCATTTCGGACTCATCAGGATGTCGGCTTTGCAGTGCACCTCTTTTTGACCTCCTGCGGAAACCACACTCGGTAAAAAAATAACTACTTAAAGGGCATGCATTTTTCAACATTGATTTTCGGTGGTCTTATAAATTCAGATACATTTTATAGAAAACATGCATAAAAATAGGTTTTCTTTTACTCCCTTGGTAGAAAATCACATTATTTTCATATTTTATACCTGAAGAAAGTGTATATTTAGGTTTTAAAAAAGCCTTCCAATTCCCGAATAACTTCGAGCCTGATCTGCCATTGCATTAGCGTTTAACGATTTCATTCTGCAAGGTGCATGCTTGCCGCATAAGGAAAATCATATACTCCCCTATGCTTTCAGGAAGATACTATATAGAGTTTATAAAATTTTGCGATGGATCCGGACTGCGTTATACATTTTATGAGGAGCATTGGTAAACGGACATGTGCGGTTCTATAGGCATGGACATCGCACGGTCTTAAAAATCCCATAATTAGGAACTTTTTCAAAACCTAAATATACACTTTATTCAGGTATAAAATATGAAGATAATGTGATTTCCTACCAAAGGAGTAAAAGAAGGCATATTTTTGTGCATGTTTTGTATAAAATGTATCTGAATTTATAAGACCACCGAAAATCAATGTTGAAAAATGTATGCTACTTAAGGAGTCATTTTTTACTGAGTGAGGTTTCTGCAGGAGGTCAAAAAGAAGGGCATTCAAGAGCTGACACCCTGGAGAGTCTGAAGTACCATGGGATTATGATGCAAGCTAGTGAATATTACAACACCACCTAAGTAGTCCTTCCTAATCGAACACGCATTCCAGAATTTCGGCCAACATTTCATGAGATCGGTCACGCACTGTAGTCCTAGTAGATGGAGCTTTAGACTTAAAACGCGTTTAAACCTCGGGAGCATTGACACCCGCAGCTGACGACTAATAAGCTGGAAATTGCCATTCAAATGCTCTTGATTTCTGTCGCCTATGCTCCTCTAGAATGGGTGATTCGTCGCTGTGTGACAATCTGGAAGGGCAGTGGACGCACAGCCCCAGGGAGAGATTGATGAACACCCTTCCGGCAAAAAATGCCCACAGCACTTACGCGGTGTTCGTGCGGATTGGGCGACTCCTGCCAACCACCCGCCGGAGTCGTCTGATCGACGATGCCGCTGTCGCGGGTGGACCAACGGCAAAAGTTGCATGTGAGGTAGTACACCTTCTGCGGGGTCGACTTGTTGGCGTCCTTTGAGGCGGCGCCCTCAGCCGACGGCACCAGCACGATGGTGGCTCGCGTAGAGAGATTGTGACCGCAACTGGGGCAATCGAAGCAGTTACCGCATCTGTGGCGACGCATTTTGGCCTCCGCACTGGCCATGTTCTCCAGACAGTTGGGGCAGTAGTGTGAATCTACCTACAAGAGGAGAGGTGGGGGGGAAGATTCTAAGATAATTGCTCCACATGAGCTATGGCCCTAGCGGAGAAGCCTGAAAAGTCTACTTCAGTAAAAACGAAAAAAAGAAGTCGGGGACATCGTGGGTAGGCCATAGGCGCGCCCACTAGCCGCCGTGCAGTCTTGTAGCGGGCACCCAACATGACTGGTCTGATGTCATTGTTCAAGACCTCGGTGCCTCAAAGTCATTCGCCCCTTGCAGCGAGCCGTCCCAGACGAGCTGATCTGAAGCCACTTCTGGGGTTGGGCTTCGATCACGTCGGGGTCACCAATTTGTAGGCGTCAAGCGGTGTGAGTTTGTGCAGTCTGTGAGCCACAATTATCAAGTCAAATCCCATGTTGGAAGGAGAAGACGGATGGCACCAGAATGAGGAGTTTAATGTAAACATAACCCAGACTTGTCCTCTCAGACGGCAGTGGCCACTGGCGACGCCAGGGCTGGTATTGACTGTGTCCATTCATGCCTGAGAGTCACAGGGACGGTGGTGGCAGCTGCTTTTGCAGGCTCGTGGGCCAAGATCAAGTGGTGTCCAGTCAGTGTGTGTTACATTTGCCGAGGGGTGGCGTCCCAGTGGCTTGTTTTGCTAGTTGCAGGGGGTGGCGCATGGGTAGCCGCGACGCTGTGTGGACGCAATTGCGTCCGAGCTGAAGTCGGCCGAGTGGCTTCAGATCAGTTCGTCTGGGACGGCTTGCTGCAAGGAGTGATTGACCTTGAGGCAGCGAGGTCTTGAACGATCGCGCTAGACCGGTTATGATGGCTGCCCGCTACAAGACTGCACGGTGGCCACTTTGCACAGGATACAGTCTACAATACTGGCGTTTTAGCCCACCTAGTGCTAAATGGATATTAACCCTGATCTCTACGATGCGGACGCACCCCATTACCTTGGCTGCCAACTGAAGAAGTGAATCTGTCCTTGCGGCCTAGCAGGTGAACCGAGGGTCCGGCTCAATAGCTCCTTCTTAGTGTGGCCACTGCGACACGCTCACGTACGTCAGATCCTATCCGACTCTTTCTTCCTTCAGCGAAAACCCGTTCCATTGTGTGTGAGGCACACGTAGACGGGCTGTCTAGCCTTTCTAGAGTCATTGCGCCCGATCCCCCCTCATCCGGTCAGCTTGACTGCGTCTTACCATCGGGCACATGTGGGTGATGGGGGCGCGAGTGAGGTAGATGCTGCGCAAGTCTGCCACCACTATAATCTAATTCGTGCGTAAGTCAACAAACGCTAATGGCCTCATAATGGACAGGTGCGGAGTAAGGCGCTTAGTTGACGCAAAGGGTGTCCGACATCTAATGGCAAATGGATGCATTGAAACGCAAGTAGACAGCCAGTTTACTCTCTAAACTCTTCTCCCCGTTGCCTTGAGTTCGCACAAAAGGGCACCTCGCGACTGAATGGCTTGGACCACTTTGTCATTAAAATTGCCTTTTTGTGTCATCGCTTCTAATCTAACAAGTAAATAAACTAAAGATTGAAGCGGTTTGACTGACTCCTCTGAATTCTGTGCTACGTATGAATTTCAGCATCCTTAGCATGTAACAATGTCCAAATTATTGCCCAACGGGGTGATAGTATCGGCACAGACTTTGGGGCTGCAGGCAAACCCATAGAGCGTACTTCATGTGATACGCAGTTTCCGCATCTGACATCGTAGCAGTGTCGACAGAAGTAGAGCTGCGACAACGGGCAGATCCGATTGCAGGAACAAAGGAGCTGCACACGCCGAAGATCGAAATACGTGGCCATGGGTGGTCTGAAAGAGGGGAAGAACAGAGAGTAAGTCGGGTGCAGCGGCAAGTCCTCGTGACGCAGGAAAGAACAGAAGTGGCACCCGTAGAGCTAACTCGAATACAAAATATACCAGTATAAGGCGCCTGTAATTGCTGGAAGCTACAACAAAATGGTTATGAGCACTGCTGAACTGTATTGCGCCGACATATCTTCTCTCATGTTAACTGAATATCTTGGTGATGAATGAAAAAAGATTTCGACTCTTAAGCGGAAGTTCCAGTTGCGCACGACAGGGCACTTAACAATTCGCGGTATAGCCTTTAAGAGTATCTCCGTGAAAAAGGTGAAAAGGTGAGGAAGGCACCATCCAAAGATTATGCGGGATGGCCGGTAGACAGGAGTCCTCATCAGTAGTGTATGAAACAGACTCCCGCTATAGCGTCTTCCCTGACTGGTGTGAGGAATCCGATTATGAAAATGTTGGTCGAAGTCCATCAGTGTCTCGCCAACAGAGACAGAGCAAACAAGCTCTGGATAGGGTGGCTGATGTCATGAGGACATAAATGCGCTCGAGACAGTTGTTGGCTCGGTCTCTTTACGTCTTCTCAGTCTATCTCTGTTCAGCCGAGGTGGAGTAAACATAAGTTTTTTGGAAGTTCTGGAGACGTCCAATCAGATTTATTACTAAAACATTGCGTTGCGGACAAAGAAGCACCTGTGTGCGCTCGATAGGGTTGACATCGCGTCAGATTTCGCGAGGGCAGGAAGGATGGCGAGCACTAGCACTAACAGGTTGGTCAGTAAATGAGACGATACAAGGCATTCGATGAAAAACCGCAATATTGAAGTTGGTGCTTCAAACCTCCAGCCAGCCCTTAACCACTCAGCAAGTCTAACTTCGATTCACTTCGACAACTTAGTGCAGCGGTGGAGACCGACCTATGAATTCTCATCAATAGGGTTATTTAGGAGGCACTTTGACGAAACGGTTCATGGAAGAGGATACCAAAAACGATAAAGTCCACAGGCGTAGGTTTATGACGGTACAAATCGAGCCGGTTGAGTTAAGACAGAGGAGCTGATGCGTCTGGACCTCTGTCAGTGGGGCGAACTTAAGCGTGAAAGATTGCCCCTTCGGAAGGAAGAAAACTGTGCATCAAGTTGGACCGCGAGAACTCGTCTCGCAGTGATAATCCAGGGGTCCACTACGAGGGCGCTATCGTGGTACAATATGAGCGTTGACTACTTCTCCGAGATGCGTTTTCTACGTCACGGTTTGCGCTACATTAGGGTCCAAGGGGAATGTTTTGCATCACGGCCTCAGTGGTTTCACTGAGGACTCTGATCGATGAGGAGTCTCAGCCGCTCTGGGTTATCAGATCACGGTGTAACTTGTGCACCAAGGGTTGCATTTGAACGTCTACATGGTGCCATCTTCGATGTTACTTTGCGTGCCGTGCGATCTAGGTTCGGCTTCGAGTGAAATACAGAATGACCTTCGACCAAATTTTGGCGACGATTACGAGTGTCGATGTCTGAGTTTGCCGTTGTAAAACGTGGGCGGGAAAGTATGACGTGTCTGCAACGCGAGCCCTCGCTCACTAATTGATGGAAAACAGATGCCGAGCTGTTTGATCATTGCGGACATCTGTCTAAGCACTCCAGGAGACATGTAATCACCTGGTAATCTAAAAACGGCCACATTCAAAACCAAATTGAGTACATGCTTATCGAAGCACGCTGGGTCGGCTCTGTGCGATATGTGGATCGGACACCGGTAGAAAGAGTGACCCATATAATGCGTCTGTGAGGGCTCGACGACGACTCAGAATACGGTTACTGTGAGACGTAACCCAAGAGGAAATATGCTAGCCGCCTTAATAACTCCACCAACGACACGGGCTGATTCCTAACGGTTCACCGAACAGTTGGTTCTGAGGTGCATCAGGGCAAGCTCCTCAAATTACCTCTCGCGGGGCATAGGACCATTGCAGAAGGAGTTGAACCTTTGGTGAAACGGGCCGGCTGGCCGATGGTGTTCGCATTCATGGCAATCCAACCTTTAGAGACGTGTGTCATCAAACTGAAGGCTCTGAACAGCCTGCTCGCGAAGGACTCTGAAGTAAAACTGCCCGAGATCGTGAAGGCGCTTCAGTTAATTGTGATAATGGGAGACGGTGCTGGGGTTTGAAAATGCGCTGGTCTTCTAACCAATTCAAGACAATCAAGACACGACGTTACGGAGGAAGGAGCGTGTTACGAAACTTCTAAACCCGGCGGACTCAGTCTCCTCGGCCGCTGTCTAATTTTAAGACGTTGAGACGTCCCAGTAGGCCTGTCGGTGCAACTCACAAACTTCTAAGAAGAGTTCTGAGACGGTGACGGTGGATAAAAATGGCCTTGCGACAACTGTCACCCAACGGAAATCCCCAAGTGCCGTTCAACAGCAGTAGCTGACTGACTGCTTTTCGGGTGTAGAGACTGTAACCAAAAACTAGATGACCCTGTTGATACACGGATATCCAACTAAGATGAGAAATCGTTGTAAAAAACTAATTTGGTAATAATTTTCCTGAGAAGGCTGCAAGGTTCTTCACCCTCATCGTCCTTTGCTTGTACCGCGGCATGCGGACAAGACTGAAGTGGTGCAGCTTTCGGCTGAATGCCACAGCTACGCAACAATCCGTTTCGTGGATCATGTCTCTACTTTTCATTCTGCCCATCGGGATCCTTGCGGTCGATCAGGTTGCGTAATAACATGTCGTTAAGGTTACTCCAATTC